TATTTATACAGTTATAGATACGCATTCTTTTTCAGTAGTGTTATATAAAGGAAAACATTTGCAAATGTAAATATTTATATTTACTCAACATTTATACTGTGCATTTCCAAAAGAGAGATATTGAAAAAAAATGATATGATAGGCCCCTCATCCCTTCACAGTTTGAATTTTAGAATGAAAATTGTTTATATATTGTCAGAAAGACGAATTAATTAATTAAATAATAATGTGAATTCAGACCATAGATTAATTTTTCTAACAAAATTTTGCCTGGGACGATGTGTTTTGCCACGGGCTTAGGTGTCGTTCGACCGGGATGTATTTATACTAGTATATACTTGTATTTTATTGGGTTTACTTTTAGTGTAAGTATATTATGCCTGCTATATACAGCAATTACAAAGAAAAAAAACTTTAATAGTTAATAAAAAAAATAAAATATAGAAAATAAAAATATTCTGTTGTATTTTCAGTTTCCTAACATCAGCCTTGACTATGATAAGTTTGCCTGCAGTTCCTCTATTCCGATGACAACAATCCATTTGTTCTCAAGAAACGTATGTATTAAAAAAAAAATGAAGAAACTTTTGGAGATAATTTATGTTTGGAAACTGTATTGCTGACTTGTATGTACTACATCAGGGGTTTAAATTTTCATTTCCAAAGTTTTTATGTTGCAGTATATATTCACCCAGTCATTTAAAAGCATTGTCAAAATACTTTGTTTTTGTCTTTGTATTATAAAACAAACAGTTGTTATAACAAGAATTATCATTCATCAGAAAACTCTTTACATGTTTTTGTGTAAACAAACAGTTGTTATAACAAAAATTCTTGGTATGAATTATCTAATAATTACTCCAATGATATGTTATGCAATTTCCTTATAATTTAACTTTTCTATATGTATTAATATATGTTTTACAAAAGTATATAACATACAAAGAATTATAACTCGTTATTTATTTATTTATTACAACTTACAAACATTTAAACTACATTGATGAGGTAATATATCAGAATCATGGAGAAATAAATGTTAAAAAAAGATAAACAAGAAACATAGCCATAATTTTCAATTTGTTGTATGCACCTTTCAATAAAAAAAAGTAATAGTTCTGATAACCTCCACGAGTATATGAACATGATCAATCAAAACATTTTAATAATGCCTTAATGGTCTAGAAATGAATGAATCAAATTGGGGAAAATCCAATGATATATGCAATTTACTTTTCACAAAAGAAAACAAAAGCATTATCAGAACATGTATGCAACATAATTTTCAATGTATGCACCTTTCAAAAAAAAGTAATATTTATAGATTGGATCAATCAAAACATTTTAATTTTACAAGTGGGGCATTACACCTTGATTGGGAATTTTACATACCCCCCACTTACCCTTTCTAAATATTTTGGGTTGCAGCCATTCCCAATAATTTATTCTTTTCAAATTCTTTTCAAATATCCTACACAAAGCACAAATTGTAAAGGACAACGATTGATGATGATTACATCTTTCATTTACTCATTACTTTGATAATGATTTTTTATGAAAACCCCTTTGAAATATATCTATCATAGGAATAATCAAATTTATATTGAAATTCCTCTATTTGTGAAATTACTTAAAAGTACAAGTAATATCACCAGTAAATATGCAGTTCACATAGGATTTTATCAGAATCTAAAACTTTAAAAAACATAAATGCCCCAGTGTTTTAACAGCAATTCAGCAGTCTGGATATGCTTTTTATCATTTTCTTGCTGAGAATTCGATAACTCTCTGTGAAGTTTACTGACTTTAGTTTGTACTCTAGCAAGAGATGTCTTATATTGTTGGCTGAATGATCTGTCAACAGCTGTTAAACGTTTATATTTTAGATATTCCTCCACCTCTTTACATTTTCCAAGCAACATTTGGACCAAGTCATCAGTTCCATACCTCCTGGCTGAAATTAAATAAAATGAACCATGAGACTTTCAAATGGCATGAAGAATGAAAGTTTTAAAAGGTATTTAAATGCTTAATATGGAGAAGAAAAACTGACCTATACGACTGCTCTAATCAACATTTTTTTCCCTCTCGCTGGTCTTAAAAAGTTGTTTTCTGCATTTCTTTCGTTCAGAATCTATTAATAATGCATGTTCATAGTCATCACATGATTGATATATTCTTACATGACAGATATCATAGCCAAGTGCAAGGGAAGAATAATTTTGTGGGTTTTTTTTTTTTCAACCAGTTCAAAGTCTATTACATGTGTATATGAATGCAAGCAGATCTGACATCTATTAATTTAAATTGGATTTAAAACAAAGAGTCATGGACTAAAAATCACATCAATTTCTGTGTTAATTGTAATCATTTTAAATTTAATATCGTTTATACATTTTATTAGGAAGTAAACTGTAATCCTATTTTACTGTATGTTCAATAGTTTTTGTTGTATACTAATGTGTCGTCCTGTAACCATGGTGACATGCTAATTTTTTTGTAAATGCAGAGATTTTTCCACCTTGCTTACATACCTGTATGTAAATTTTCCTCGCAAAATCTTTTTCTTTTTGAACTGATTAATGCTAAAAATATGAAATAAAGGGAATTAATTTATGAAATACAACGATTTCCAATTCATTTTGACAATAAAAAATACTTAAGCTGAATGTTAGGTATCATCTAAATAATCATAATAATAATATGTCTGTTTCTGTTTTAGATATATGTAAAAGTACCAATGTAATGGGTCTCTTCTTTGGCTGATTGGTATCATTTGATTGATTAAGTGAAGGTAATTGTATATTGACAGTAAGGTAACAATGGAAACATTGACTATTAATCATGTTAATTGAAATCGCTACTTCTTTGCAATTATATGATTTCCTAGTGCACAATGGAGATATATGTTAATTGCTAAAGAGGGAAAAATAACATAATGAAAGCTCATTAAGAAATGGAAGTATTGGACTTAATCCCATATTGAACCTTTTATCCAGATGATATGAGCTTTGCTAAGGCTTGGGGGGGGGGTGCATACAACTCATTGGATAAAAAAATAATATCCAACTACACATCATGTGGGATTCTATACTTATAATACAGCAAACAAATTGATTTCCCTTAATTGTGAAAACAAAATTTTAAATATCCTTTTATTGTAGACACTTGACATCAACTGGTGGTCAATATCCAGCATCTGCTTCCCAATACTACAAATACAACCTTCTGGTGCCTGATGACCACTTAGCCCTTCCTCATCCTGGTGCTGTTTGACCAGTGATTTCTTGAAGTCTCTATTACCTGTTGAATTTAGGTAAGGACTGTATTGGTAAAAGGTACAGGTTTTAATAAGTCTAAGATTTGCTATCTTCTTATTTGGTATTTATGACTGTTATTGCTGGTTTAAGAGTCCAAATTTGTGTTTGTGATCATTTTAAGTCCTCATAAACAGTCTCAAATACCAAGTGAGAAAATTGTTATTTCCATTCTAATATTCCGCCAAATACTGTATTTACAATTTTGTATTACATGTAGCTGTTTAATTAATATTCTTTCTGAATAGTTGTATCATATCAGAACTTAGTTTGAATCTACAAAACAAAACAATCGCCTTCTCCATTTAAAACAGTAAGAGTTAGACAATCATTGATACACATGCTTGATTTTCTTTCCTAATCTGCTTTTTTTGGCATTTTTCGCTTAGAACTTGCTTGAGGAAAATTTCACTTAAAGACTGTACATGTTTGACTGATTCGGCGTATGATACATCGTGTTTGATGTTACACCGCAGAATACAAGTTCTGTTTCACATAACCTTGATAACAGTTTCTAATTATACCCCCCGCAAACGAAGTTTGGGGGGGTATATAGGAATCACCTTGTCCGTCTGTCTGTATGTCTAGCTGTCCGTCTGTCTGTGCAATCGTGTCCGGTCCATATCTTTCTTACAGAGGGACATTAGAATCTACTACTCCACACTAAGATTGCTCATAACCTAAGGGTGTGTCATGACCTTGACCCAAGGTCATTTGGGGAAGTTCAAGGTCACTGGAAGAAAAATTTAATAATTCGTGCCCGGTCCATATCTTTCTTATGGATAAACTTGGTAGGTTCTCATTTCACACAAAGATTTCCCATGACCCAAGGGTGTGTCATGACCTTGACCCAAGGTCATTTGGGGAAGTTCAAGGTCACTGGGAGAAAAATTTCAAAATTCGTGTTTGACACATATCTTTTATGGATAAACTTGGTAGGTTCTCATTTCACACAAAGATTGCCCATGACCCAAGGGTGTGTCATGACCTTGACCCAAGGTCATTTGGGGAAGTTCAAGGTCACTGGAAGAAAAATTTCATAATTCTTGTCCAGTCTATATCTTTCTTATGGATAAACTTGGTAGGTTTTCATTTCACACAAAGATTGCCCATGACCCATGGGTGTGTCATGACCTTGACCCAAGGTCATTTGGGGAAGTTCAAGGTCACTGGAAGAAAAATTTTATAATTCGTGTTTGATACATATCTTTATTATGCAAAAACTTACTTCTGAAAAACCCAGCGGGGGGTATTTTGTCCCGATTGGACAGTTCTAGTTTAAAAAAAAAATATGTAAATAAATGAAATGGGCAAATATACGATTATTGCCTTGAAATCGAAATTACTTTGACAAAACAAATTTTTAACGAATAACCAACTAAAGAAATTTTTGTTGATAGTTGGTATGATCAAATGATTATCAGTGGAGTACGCGAATATTCGTTGAAATCCCTAGTTTAAAGCATGTTTTTCTATCAATTTAAAAATACTTTCACATCTGTTAATACGCAATTGATGGCCTCAAGCATTAGTGCAGCAAATTGGTATTATAATACCCACCCTTCAGAAGATCAGGATTGAATTGTTGATTCACTGTTGCTTTGCATCTTTTCTTTGCTTTTAACATTTAAAAGAAAATTTTATAAATTAACTCAATTTTTTTTTTTTTTTGAAAGAGTAGACATGCAATCTCCTACAGAAATTCTCGTTTGTAGTTGGTTTGAAAGTTGTCCCATCTGAATCTGTACAGAAAAGTGTACAATGACTATAAATCTCTTTTTTTGATCCATGTCAGGATTTTTACATGGCATAGTACATTTTTTTTTAGACATGTACCATCATTTGGCAGCAGAGATTGAACATCATCACCATTATTGTCCTCTTCTTCCTGCGTCTGGCCATTTTCTCCATTTCCTATGAGAAGGTAAGTTGTAGAATATTTCAATTTAAGATTTATGAAAAATATTGAAATTTTGTATCTAAATACCACAATGAAAGAAAATTGGAAAATATTTAATTCCCATCTGAATCTGTACAGAAAAAGTGTACAGTGGCTATGAAATGTTTTTTTGATCCATGTCAGAATTTTTACATGGCATAGTACATTTTTTTTAGACACGTACCATCATTTGGCAGCAGAGATTGAACATCATCACCATTATTGTCCTCCTCTTCCTGCTTCTGGCCATTTTCTCCATTTCCTATGAGAAGGTAAGTTGTAGAATATTTCAATTTAAGATTTATGAAAAATATTGAAAATTTGTATCTAAATACCACAATGAAAGAAAATTGGAAAATATTTAATTCCCATCTGAATCTGTACAGAAAAAGTGTACAGTGGCTATGAAATGTTTTTTTGATCCATGTCAGAATTTTTACATGGCATAGTACATTTTTTTTTTAGACACGTACCATCATTTGGCAGCAGAGATTGAACATCATCACCATTATTGTCCTCCTCTTCCTGCTTCTGGCCATTTTCTCCATTTCCTATGAGAAGGTAAGTTGTAGAATATTTCAATTTAAGATTTATGAAAAATATTGAAATTTTGTATCTAAATACCACAATGAAAGAAAATTGGAAAATATTTAATTCCCATCTGAATCTGTACAGAAAAAGTGTACAGTGGCTATGAAATGTTTTTTTGATCCATGTCAGAATTTTTACATGATATAGTACATTTTTTTTTTAGACACGTACCATCATTTGGCAGCAGAGATTGAACAACATCACCATTATTGTCCTCCTCTTCCTGCTTCTGGCCATTTTCTCCATTTCCTATGAGAAGGTAAGTTGTAGAATATTTCAGGTTTTTTTATCTGTTTATCACACTGAGAAATACTGGAAAATATTATATAAGATTATTTTTGTAATTTTCATTGGCTGAAAGGACTTCATGTGATATTCCTCCTTTTGTGATATCATCGAGAAAGCGCATTGGCAGAAAATAATATTGCACAACACATTGTTCGGTTGCACTGAAGTTACATTGAACATGACGTCATAATATATAAATCATGTTTTAAACTATTGAGACTTGTGTGATGTAATGACAGCCAAATCTGTTTAATAGTTAGAACTGACTCGTGTCAGTGCATTAACTTTGAGTGAGTACTAATATAAATATTATGGACTTCACTGCAGGTTAATATGTGGTTATAAGGACTCATGGCCGGTGATATTGATTGAAGACACGGACCATGATAGAGACCTCGCAGTCTTGGTGGCCATCACTTTCTGTGTCTTCGTTCAATATCAATTGCCATGAGTGACTCCTTATAACCACATATTGACCTACACTGAATCTCCATAATTGTATAATAATTCATATATTTACATACCATTATCCTGATTTTCAGTGAATTTGGAAGCTTCCACATCTGAGCCTGTACATTATATAAAAAAAATGTTTATATACAAGATTTATTTTAATGACCGAAATTTATTTGATCTATTATGTTTTCAGACACGCACCGTCTGGCTGTTGGGATGGAACTTCATCATTTTGGGATGTGTCGAATTCCTCTTCCCTCTGGCAGTCTTCTCCTTCTGCTTAGAGAAAGTGATGTATGTGTAAGATGCAAAGTGCATCAATATGAGGTTTGCTTGTAAGGCCATATAAAATTGAAATTCTGGTTCTCAGGCCCGCGCGCATTGCTAATTTTATTGTATTTTTGATAAAATAAAAAGTTGGTATTGCGGAGACCAATCCAGAAAAAAAAAATTCCGACCTCATTCATTTCATAGTTTAGTATTCAAATATCACTTCCAATAGCCATATGCAATGAGATTTTGGCTACTTCGTTTGAAAATACATTTGAAGACATTACCTACGATGTTTTCATGCTGATAAGCAATGGATAAAGCAGAAATTTTGACCAGAAATGGAAAGTATATCTGTGATTAAAAAAATTATCTTTATGTTAAAAGAAAATTCGAAAATTTAAATTAAAAAAATACCTCCCTCATCTACTTTATTGCCAATAAAATGATAAATAAAATGCCGCCCTCCCGCATCTGTTTTGGAGAAAATTGGCCTGAGAACCAGAGAATTAGATTTAGATAGCCTAATGACTGAATATTGTAGAAGTACTTCTTTTTTCCACGAGGTATTTATTTAGGCAGTCTCCAAATCACCACAGAAATTTGTCCAAGCATACTCAAAATATACTAGTAGTGAGAGTTCAAGAAATTGATATAATTTTCTACCCGCAGACTAAAGAGATTTCAGTCATTTCACACAATTATGATCTTTTGAAAAAAGTACGTCTTCAGAATGATTTTTTAATTAAAACTTTAAATTAATTTCTGTGTTATAAATTATGTTTGTGACCTCTTAATTTTTCAAACATAATGTTGATATAAGTAATGATACCTTTTAGTTTTGGACAAATATAAGCTATTCTTCCATCTTTGTAGGTTTTCAGCCTTTGGAGGGGAAGCTGCAGTTTTCCAGATGCATACTGCTCAATACATTCCTTCCACTTTTGCTGTGTCCAGAGTCTCTCCTGTTTTAATGACGAAGACCGAAAGTGATGAAGCTCAGGTCCCTCCTGTTTACTACTGTCATCGTCTGGACCATCATGGAAGTTCATGCCTGCTGCATCCAAAGACCACCAGATATCCTTTCCCGGAAGAAGAAAATCGGGAATTCTTTGTAAATGACTCTGCACCAACAAAGGGAATTTTTTCAACAAAGTTGAAGGTAGTAAAGTGCGTTTTTGAGGTGGGAGTAATTTGGCCTGTTTGCTGATTGCAGACTGTTGTTTCATAATTGTTTGTGTAGGGTCAACGTGAGAGGTTTGGAATTGAATTCTCAGCATTGCATTATCTACAACAAATTTGGGTTGTCTGTTGGTTGTATTCTCAGAAATCCTTCGAAGAGTTCCAAAAGAACGTTCTTCCTGTTCTGGCACAATTGACTTCAGACAAAAGAGCCTGGCTGTTTCAGGGACATGTACTGTTATACTATGGAAATGATTTCCATAGAACTTTCTAGATGTCAGCTTTAGTGGATTCCCTATGACTGTTTTGCAGTGTACGCCAAATAAAAAGCATTGGTTGTACAGACGAAGAAGTTGCTTTGGAGACCGCATGGCATAGTCTGAATAGCATATAGTGACAATATCCACAAGAGAGTTTACCAGATCTGGTATGTTTTGGTCAAGTTTTCCTTCTTCAAATTTCTGATCAGTAAATTTTGCCAGTTTTACAGCATAAAGTCGAGCATCTGACCCTTTTATCTGGTTTTTATTTCCAATAGTAGTCTCACTGAAGGAGAGGAACTCCTGTTTGGTATTTTCGCCCACATGATGGGGAAGTTCTTCAATGAGATTTCGGATGACATTCGTGAGGTCATGCAGAGGCTCACACGAGAGTACTTCACATTTATCAATGTTCAAGTCGGCCATGGTTTTAACTGGATTAAGGCAACATAGTGCAGGTGGTCTTGCTACACCATGTAAGGTTTCGAAAAGTTTTTCTTGAACTGTGCTCTTTCTTTCGTCATTTAACCATATTCCTCTGCTCTCCAATTCTGTAATAATTTCCTCTTTCTTAAGACCCTGAAATGGACTTACTACACCTGCTGTTAATCTTTCCCAAGCTTCTCCAGCAACCACGTGTTTTCTTCTTTCTTCAAGTGTTAACGGCTCAATGTTGTAGCATGTGATGAAACTGTTGTGGTCGCTGGTTGGAACTCCGCATAGGCAACTGAACTTCCCTCCCCTTTGTTGGCCACTCTCGAACTGGCGAGCTGGATTATCACCAGTGAAAACTCGAAGAATAGGGTTGATGTTGTTTACACCATTTGAAAGGTTTTCTAGATCTTCTAGTCTGGTTTTTGTATAAGTAAGCTGCTCTTTGTCACTGCTCCCTGGAAAAAAAATTTAAGCTTTTTTTGAAAAATTGTTTTTTTTTAATGTGTTGTACTTATACTCATTTGTAAATGTATTTTTTTTGTTCAAGCTATTGTTAGGTCAGATAAGCCTTTTTGATCAAAATTTGTCCTTGTCTGTCATCACTGTTGATGTGAGTAATAGTGGACCAATTTAACCAGGTTTGACACAGATTATCTTTGGGTGAAGGGGATTCAATTAATGGACCACATCCTCATTTAAGGGGAGATAATTATGGAAAAGAAAAATTTGGTACAGTCACTAAAAACTCGTTTTGAAGATGGAATTTGGGTTAAAGTTCATGACTTAGTAAAAATTCAGGACTGTTCAAATCATGACCTTTAGGTGTATGGTGGGGCCACTATCAGTGGGGAACGTTTTATGGACAACTATTGATGTTATCTGAGTAATATCTTGAGATATTTTCTTTTAAAGAATAGCAAAATCATTTTCTTTAATATTTATATAGATTAATCCAAAGATAATGTTTATTTAAGGATGTTCAAGTGATCATGACCCCTGGGGGTAGGGACAGGTCATAGTTGGGATCAAAATTTTCTTCAGAAATTCTTGAAAAATCTTCGTTCCAAGAGGGGGAAACCTATCTTTTGTCAAATTTACATTTAATCATCCTCGTGTAATGTAGACTTAGATTCATTCAAATCAGGGCCCTCAGAGATAGTATGGTGGCTTCAATGAGTGATTTGATTTAAGATTTAAAAAGATAGAAAAAATTATCTTGTGTAAATAATAGCCATGCGCAATAAATCAGGTGAACATTGTGGACAAAAGACCTTTTGATACAAGCATGTTTTATTTTTTATTATTTTTTTTTACATGTCATTCTATGTAATGTATGTTATTTTCGTCAATTTTTTATATATATATATATAGAGACATTTCATACATTTTTTTGAAATGAATCTCATGTTGTATCTGAATTTGTGTAAAAATTATGTATATTCTGTTATGTTTTGGATCAGTTTTATCCTAACTATATTTTATATTTATCAACTTTTTAACAAGTACATGTGAAGTTTTTGTATTGTCCATTTTTGTTTCGGTTTTTCACATCTTTTAGAAAAATCATGGTTTACAAAGTTAAGGGTTACCTGATAGCCCAAAAATGTAAAGTTGTGGCCTCTCTACCAGTGACTGGATATTGACTGGCTTTCTCTCTGGATATCTTGTCTTGAATTCTTGGTCAGTTATAAAATTCATCGGATCGTACAAGAAACATGTCATGAAGCTTACGTAAGAATGATTTAGGATATCAGAATGATCATGCCACATTTTCATTTTCCAAGAGTTCTCCATCTTTTTAAGTTGTTCTCTAAGATTTTCAGTAGATGTTATATGAGATATTTCATTTACATGTATTTTTGCACAGAAATCTTTAATGCTATCTTTAGACATTTGATCATAGTCTGTATCTCTAACAACCCCTGCTCTCTGTAGTCTAGATGTTTCATTTTCGACGATCTTTGATAGAGGTATTTTCCGTCCATGTATTTGTGTTATTTTTTCCATAAGCTCACCCTCCTGGTTGATAAAGTTGGTTTTATAAGGTTTGGGGGCTATTTCTTCACCAATATATATCTTTTTGGTCTGAATTTGGTTTTTTATGATAGACTTGAAAACCTGAGCAGATCTTTGTGTTGGAACTGAGATTTTATGACTGATCTTTTTCTTTTGTCTCCTTACCCTTCTTAAGTAGTCTTTTTCTGATTTTGCCACTATTCCTTTAGAAAGTGAATATTGTTTTAACACCTGTCCTGCATTTGCAGGTGTCTTACCATGAATACTAATTTTGAGTTTTTTTGAAAGTCTAGTCCAATTAATTGGCCTTGATTTTGGAATTTTTGAAATTTCACTTACAACTTCTTCATGGTTGATGGTATATGATTTGAAAGGGCCATGATGAGACTTAGGTTTTACCTTTTTATCCTGTTCTTTTTGGATTCTTGCTTTGACTGCCTCTGCACATTGATCGTATGGCAGGAATCCGGCAGCAAAGCGGTCTCTCTCATGCTGGTTGTAAGATTTTCCGGAAGCCAAAAAATATTGTACGTCGTTGTCATCTTCTTCTTGTGAATTTTGTGTTTTTTCGTGAGATTTTTTGACATTTTCTTCAATCTGTTTTCTTTTTTCTTCATGTGTCAGTTTTGGTGTCAAGTTTAGACTTTGTGCAAAGACGTTAGTGAAATTATGACCTGTTTTTTCTTCAAAGACTGGCTTTATTGTGCTAATTAAAGTTTTTGCTGCATTGATGGAACCCTTTAATGTTTTTGGTTGATTTGATGCTTCTAAAATTTTTTCAGTCATTTCAGTACATTTCGATAATGCCTCCTGTCTCGCTAACCCATAAGAAACGTGTAGTGTAGAGGCATCATTTTCGTACATGCAGGGCTTGCAGTTTTCAAGTGTGTGGGTCATTTTAGCTCTGTGAGATAACTGTTCCCAATTTTGTAGGGAGAAGCTATTGACAAACTTTGTTTTCTCTCCATTTTTGTTGTTTCCTTTGAAGTATTTGGATTCAACAACATATTTTTGAAGATTCTTGATTCTCTTTTGAAAGACAGAAACTGAAATATGCATTTTTGGATACCTGTGCATAATGTTGTTGTAAAATTTATGCCGAAAGGAACTGGTTGTACCTTTGTTATACTTTGAAACAATTTTGCTATTTTCATTGTTATTTTCATTGTTCCTTTTCTCCCACCAAGCAAACGCATTTGAGTCTCTAGTTGTTCTTGCCAGGATTACCTTGGCAAAATTGCAAAAATTCATTTTTTTTTTTTAGATTTTATGTGCTCTGTAGCACCATTGTGTTTTTCAACTCTGGTATAAATTCATTATCCCATATGGAAATCAAGGGCTGCGTACACTAAAACTTACTGATGCATAATAATGTCTGTGTCTTGATGAAAATTTGAGATGCCTTATCATTGTCCTTGAAATCAGCCATTGGAACCATTACAAGCTCTGCACCAAATATGAGTGTTGCATATCATGCCATATGTTAAAAAAAAAAATCAAAAAAAAAAATTATATGTATTTTTTTTTATTAAAAAAAAAAATAGATGGTAAATCTAAGGGTTTTTTTTCCTTTTATTTTTTTCTATAAATTTATTTTTTTATTTTTTTTTTTAATTTAGTACATAAAATATATTTCATCCATAATTTGCAGTGGATTAATTTTAAAATATAATTAAAAATATTTTTAATTTTTTTCATGCTCTTTTTTTTTGAGGGGGGGGGGGGGGTTAGGCTTTGTATGCATGTTGAGTATATTAAATGACCTTGTAGTTCGATGTTGTAAATAAAGCAGTAATTGTTGCATTTATTGAATAAAGTTTATTTACCACATTCTGTGTTTGATGTTGAGACCTATTTTTAAAGATAAAAGTAGGTCTGTAATAGGCTATAGTGCGTTTTTAGCATATGTAGTGAAAAGCTAACTCATAGATCTTTATATCGATATATGTATTATGATTATGTAATATTCAGTCATTAAATTCATTGAAAAAGGAAAACTCTCATCTTTTAATAATTCATTTAATAAAACAATTCAATAAAAGTTGAGAATTGCACATTTTTATTGAATATTGATTGATTTATTGATCTTGTTTTTCCGTCTTCGGTTGCCCTTGTTTAGCGAGTTACTTCCCCCTTGACTTGGTCTTCAGAGCGTTTGAAACCTGTTGAAAAAAATGAGAACGTTGGAGTAGTCAGAAAAAATCGTTTGGCGCAGGTTGTTGCTGAGACTGTTTTCACCGAGGAATCTGTAAATTGCGAAGTATTTTGATAAGGAATATGGATCTTGCTTGGGAAATCTTTTGTATTGCTGCTTTTTTTAAATAATTGTCGAAATGTAGGGGGAATACCCCTATTTTACGTCACATAGTCGATGTTTTGTTAAAATATTTATATATTTAGGCAATGCTGTCTTTTTCCCAAGCAAGATCGACTTTCTATTGAACCATCTGAATCTGTTGATGTGCAGAAGTGTACATTTATATGCATCTTCAGCCTGCGCCGAAGGGATTTTCCTTGAGAGAACCGATTTTTCTAAGTATAGCGTCAGGTGACCTATTGATCACGTGACTAAATAATGAGGTGCAAAGTTGGAAAAACTGAGGTTTATCAACAACTTAAACGACTTGCTTCATGATTAAATCTAGTTTTTCAAATATTAATTGGTGAAAATATTAACATTTATTTTTGCTTGGTTAATTGCTCCGGGGAGCCTTAACTATGCTGCGTAGGGGTCACTCCTACAAGTCCTTAATGAGGCCGTTTTACAAAAATTCAAAGTATGCATATTGTTTAGAACATTATTCTGGCCATCTTTTGTTCCATATTGCTTATCAAAATACTCCCCCTTTTCGAGATACATGTATAAAGCGTCAAAGATTTGACATTCTGGCCCCTTGTGACCCCTAATTACGTAACATATGATCAAAATTGTATCATATATTGTTGCAAATCGTTAAGATAAATACTTTTGCTTCAGTAATGTATTACAAAATCTTGATTATTAGAGAGTTATAGATAAAAGATTTTTGGCCCCTCTGAGCCCTTAATTTGAGGGGTCAGCCCTTTTTTCATTATATCAAATGAAAGGTCTTATGATTTGAAACATTTTTTGTTCAATAGTTATTCAGAGATTTCTATTCGTTGTGGAGATATGCTAAATGGAAATATTTAGGGGTCACTCCTACAAGTCCTTAATGGGGCCGTTTTACAAAAATTCAAAGTATGCATATTGTTTAGAACATTATTCTGGCCATCTTTTGTTCAATATTGCTTATCAAAATATTCTCCCTTTTCGAGATATAAAGCGTCAAAGATTTGACATTTTGGCCCCTTGTGACCCCTAATTACGCAACATATGATCAAAATTGTATCATATATTGCTGCAAATCGTTAAGATAAATACTTTTGCTTCAGTAATGCATTACAAAATCTTGATCA